AATATAAAATCAACAAAAATTATTTATAACCAGGTGTGGTTATAAATGTCTATAATCCTAGCACTCTGGGAGGCTGAGGCAGGTGGATTGCTCCAGCTTAGGAGTTAGAGACCAGCCTGAGCAAAAGTGAGACTCTGTCTCTACTAAAAATAGAAAAATTAGCTGGGCATTGTGGCAGATGCCTTTAGTCCCAGCTACTCAGGAGACTGAGGCAAGATGACTACCTAAGCTCAAGATTTTTAGGTTGCTATGAGCTATGATGCCCTGGCACTCTACCCAGGGTGACTGAGTAAGATTATGTCTCTAAATAAATAAATAATCAGAATTATTAAAAAAAAATTCCAGATAGACAATAGGATCTGAAAAACAAAAACAAAAATCATTTGTACTTCTTCTTTATTTGTTTGTTTTCAAGACAGTCTTAAGACCAGACTTCAAGACCAGCCTGAAAAAGAGCAACATCCTGGCAGCCAGACATTGTGGTAACTACCTGTAGTCCCAGCTATTCAAGAGGCTGTGGCAAGAGGATCACTTGAACCCAGGAGTTTGAGGTTACTCTGAGCTAGGCTGATGCCACGGCACTCCCACCTGGGCCAACAGAGCCTGTCTCACACAAAATAAAACAAAACTCTCAATGATACATTTTAGAGAAACAGAAAAGCTCATCTAAAGATTCATATGGATTGTCTAGGGATCCCCCCCAAATAGTCAAAACAATATTTAAAAAGAAGAATAAAGTTAAAGGATTCCTATTGCTTGACTTCAAAACTTACTACAAAGCTACAGTAATCAAAACAGTATGGTATTGGCATAAGGACAGACATATAAAAAATGGAATAGCACAGAGAAATCAGAAGTAAACCTATATAGTTATGGCCAGTTGATTTGCAAAAAGAATACTAAGACCATTCTATGGGAAAAGAGTCTTTTCAACAAATGGTGCTCAGAAAACTGGATATCTACATGCAAAAGAAAAAAGCTGGACCCTTCCCTTATACCATATATAAAAACAGACTCAGGCTTGGTGCCTGTAAATCAGCTGCTAGGGCACCAGCCACATACAACAGAGCTGGCGGGTTTGAACCCAGCCGAGGCCCGCCAAACAACAATAACAACTACGACCAAAAAATAGCCGGGTGTTGTGGCAGGTGCCTGTAGTCCCAGCTACGTGGGAGGCTGAGGCAAGAGAATTGCTTAGAGCCAAGAGTTTGAGGTTGCTATGAGCTGTGATGCCACAGCATTCTACCAAGGGCAACATAGTGAGACTCTGTCTCAAAAAAAAAAAGACTCAAAATTGATCAAAGACCTAAATGTAAGAGGTAAAACTATAAAACTCTTAGAAAGAGAGGAAAATTCTCATGATCTTGAATTTGGCACTGATTTCTTGGATATAACATCAACAGCATAGGAAACAAAAAATAGAGTAATTGGAGTACGTCAAAATTAAAAACTTTTATGCATCAAAAGACACTATCAGGAATGTAGGCCAGGCATTGTGGCTCAAGCCTGTGATCCTAGCACTCTGAGAAGCCAAAGTAGAAAGAATGCTTAAGCTCAGAAGTCTGAGACCAGTCTAAGCAGGAGACACTGTCTCTACTAAAAATGGGAAAAACTAGCCAGGTGTTGTGGTGGGTGCCAGTAGTCCCAGCTACTTGGGAGGCTGAGGCAGAAAGATTACTTAAGCCCAGGAGTTTGACAGTGCTGTGAACTAGGAGACTTGGTCTCAAAAAAAAAAAAAGTAAAATAACCCACAGAATGAGAGAAAATATTTGCAAATCATATATCCCTGTTTTGTAGTTATTTTCTTCTTGTCTGTGGCTTATGCAGAGGTTTTGACTTTAATGAACCCTAATTTATCCATTTGTTTTTCTTTTACAGTTACTGCTTTGTGTGCCCTAAGAAATCATCATCAACCCCCAAATCTTGTTATCTGTGAACTTTTGTTGTTCTTTGGCCAAAGGCCAAAAAAATCCCTTTTGTCCAGTGACTTTAAGGAAAGGGGAAACCTCTGAGTGTAAGGGAGTGGTGAGGTTTGGACATTTGGCCCCTCTAAATCTCATGTTTAAATCTGATCCCCAAGCTAGGGTTGGTGGCTCATACCTCCTAATCCTAACACTCTGGAAGGCCAAGGAGGGAGGATCCCTTGAGCTTAGGAATTAAAGAATAGCCTGAACAAGAATGAGACCCCGGCTCTACTAAAAGTAAAAGAAAATTAGCTTGGCATGGTGGTGACACTTGTAGTCTCAACTATTCTGTAGTCCCAGCTACTAAGGAGGCTGAGGCAGGAAATTGCCTGAACCAAGAAGTTTAAGGTTGCTGTGAGCTAGGCTGACACCATGGCACTCTAGCTTGAGGCAACAGAATGAGATTCTGGATTTTAAAAAAAAGAAGAAAGAAAAGAAAGGAAAAAAGAGAAATTTGATCCTCAGTGTTGAATGTAGAACCTGGTGGGAGGCATTTGGGTCATGAAGATGGTTCCCTCATAAATGGCTTGGTGCCCTCCCCTCTGTAACAAATGAGTTTTCCCCATTAGTTCAGGAGAAAGCTGGTTGTTTAAAGGAGACTGGCACCACCTCCTCCTTTTCTTGCCATGTGACACGCCTTCTCCCCCTTCACCTTCTGGTTTGATTGGAAGCTCCCTGAAGCCCTCACCACAAGCAGATGCTGACGTAGTGCTTCTAGAATAGCCCGAAGAACCATGAGTCAAACAAATCTCTCTTCTTTATGAATTACCCAGCCTCAGGCATTCCCTTACAGCCTCACAAAATGAACTAATGCTAGGATCCAATGTGTTAACTGAAACATGCATTTTTTTTTTTTTTTTGAGACAGAGCCTCAAGCTGTCCCCCGGGTAGAGTGCCGTGGCATTACAGCTCACAGCAACCTCCAACTCCTGGGCTCAAGCGAGTCTCCTGCCTTAGCCTCCCAAGTAGCTGGGACCACAGGCGCCTGCCACAACGCCCAGCTATTTTTTGGTTGCAGCCGTCATTGTTGTTTGGCAGGCCCGGGCTGGGGATTCGAACCCGCCACCTTAGGTGTACATGGCTTGCACCTTAGCCGGTTGAGCTATAGGCGCTGAGCCTGAAACATGCATTTTTAAAAAGCCACTGGAGATCTCAACCAATTAGAAATCCATGTAATAGAGACATTTGGTCTAATTCCTTTCCCACCCCCTAGTTACTCAAGAGACACAAGCAAAATGGATACTGAAACTACATACCAAACTTATCAACTAGGGCTATATAGTTAACCTAAATACCCCACGAAAAAAGTCTGACTCTACCTTACATACATACAAAAATTCTTCAACATGGACCATTCTTCAGTTGGAAAAATAACTTTGCAACTGAGAATTGGTGATGGTTTCTTAGGGCACAAAAAGTAATTACCAAAAAAGAATGAAATAATAAATTAGGCTTCATCAAAATTAAAACCTCTGCTCCAGCCACAGACTGAAAGTATCTACAAAATCTATCCGACAAAGGACTTGCATCTGGAACACATACAAAGAACTCCTACAACTCAATAATAAAAAGGCAAATAACCCACTTTTTTCTAAATGGGCAAAAGACATGAATACATATTTCACAAAGGAAGACGTACAAATGACCAATAAGCACGTGAAAAGGTGTCCAACACCCTTAGCAATCAGGGAAATGCAAATTAAAACCACAATGAGGTACTACTGTACACCCACCAGAACGGCTAAAATTAAAAGAATGACAACACCCAGTTTTGGCAAGGATGTGGAGTAATCAGAACTCTCACATGTTGTGACTATGTGGGAGTGGAAAAAATACAACCACTCTGGAAAAAAGTCTGGCAGTTTCTTATGAGTCTAAACATACACCTGCCCTTTGATCCAGCAATTCCACTCCTAGGTATTTATCCAAGAGATACGAACACATGTGTCTACAAAAGAATTTACAGAACAATTTTCAAAGCAGTTTTACTCATAATAGCTCCAAACTGGAAACAGACCAAATGCCCAAGAGTAAGAGAAGTGATAAATGAAGTCTAATTACACCAGGTAACAGTATTCAGCAATAAAGGAACTAACTAGTACACGTACGACAATCTGAGTGAATCTCAAGAACATGCTGAATAAAGATGCCTGACCAAAAGACCACCACAATAGGATCCCATCGATAGGAAATTGTAGAACAAGCTAAACTAATTTATGGTGGGAAAAAAAAAATCAGTGGGCAGCACCTGTGGCTCAAAAGGGTAGGGCACCGGCCCCATATGCCAGAGGTGGTGGGTTCAAACCCAGCCCCAGCCAAAAGAAAAAAATCAGAGCAGCGGTTGCCTTCAAGGGTGTTGGTGCAAAGACTGAGAGAACTTTCTTGGATGGTGATAATGTTCTGGATCTTGAAAGGGGATTTAGGATACAGAGGTATTTGTATTTGTCAAAACAACCAAATAGCATATTTAATATCATTGAATTTCATAATTTTACCTAAAAATAACCCTGTAAATAAATATCGAACTCTAGTTGATATCTGAAGTAAATGGTATTTTCAACTTACTTTGAAATAGATAAAAAAAAAACCCCAGATAGACAGGGAGAGAGGCACAGATTTGTGATAAAGCAAATACGGCAAAGTTTTCATTGCACAACCGAAAAAGTGGGTACATGGATATTCACTGTAAAATTATTTCAACGTTTTTATATATTGGAAATTTTTCATATTAAAATACTGGGGGGGGGGTGGATTCTGAAGGAGACACATCCACCCTGGCATCTTTAACCTTGTTTTGCACTCTAGGAGATGACAGATCAGCTATCATGCTTTCATTCTAAAAAGAACATGAGGGCGGCACCTGTGGCTCAGAGGAGTGGGGAGCCAGCCCATATGCCAGAGGTGGCAGGTTCAAACCCAGCCCTGGCCAAAAACTGCAAAAAAAAAAAAAAAAAAGAACATGAGCCATAGGCCAAAGGTGTAAATTAACATAAACTCATGCTTTGCAAACCTAGGATGAGGCCTAAATAGAAGCCTGTAAGTTCTTTTTCTTAGATGATGAGAGGCATTTATATATATAGAAATGAACTATTTTTAACTTTCATGCTATAAGAAGTAATATCTTCCACTACATAAATGATGACATAAGAATTGTGACACCTCTATAGGAAATGTTCTCCTTAAAAAAAAAAAAAAAAAGGCTCCGCACCTGTGGCTCAAGCGGCTAAGGCGCCAGCCACATACACCTAAGGTGG